ACCAGAAACATTAAGAATACAAAAGGCAAAAAACAAGCAAGAAAAGGACAAGTGAACCTACAATAGCTTCTAACTAGACATGTTATGAAACTGTTTCTTTAGAAATCTAAAACCATTTAAAATAATTCCCTGGTATTTATGTACTTATATGTTTGCTTTTATTGATCTTATTTCCCTAATAACAAAAAGAGTAACTACGGAACATACTAATTATTGGTTTACCTTTAAGTAGCCCAAACTTATCGCCATTTAGACGGCCAAAAGAAAACATTTGTTTTTAACAAGGGAAAAATTTTCCCTCAATGTTGAGGTGTATTTTTAAAATATGAAATAATACCAAAGTTACAGAAAAAAGTGTTTGAAGTCAAGGACTCTAATTTTTTCAGATAAAATAACTACTTCTGAATATGCAGGAACCATCATTCAGTTGCCAGTGACCATCGCTAATTCTAATGGGAATTTTCAAGGTTCAGTTCTTTTCTTTTTTTTTTTTGGAGACAGGGGTCTCACTCTACTGCTGAGGCTGGAGTGCGGTAGTGTGATCCTGTGATCACAGCTCACGGCAGCCTGGGTTCAAGCAATTCTCCTGCCTCAGCCTCCCATGTAGTAGGACTATGGGTGTGCGCCACCATGCTTGGTTAGTTGTTTTTCTATTTTGTGTAGAGACAGGGTCTCATTCTCATTCAGACTGGTCTTGAACTCCTGGCCTCAAGTGATCCTCCTGCCTCAGCCTCCTGAGTAGCTGGCATTACAGGCTTGAGCCACTGAGCTCAAGATTCAGTTCTTGAAAAACAACTGTTTTTGGAAAACATAATCTCTTCATTAAAGGCAGAGGTTGAATGATTTGCTAGAGAAAATGCTGCTTTAATCCAGCATGATTTATATTCCCTCGAGTTGAGATGAGCTTGCTTCGTAGAAAGACCTCATAAATTATCTAGGCTTAAAAGAAAGGCTTCTACGTATGATATTGTTTTTACCCTAGAGATATGAGTTAAATCAGAACTTTCTAAAGTTGTTTCTAAAAAGGAAAAAAAAAAAACCATTAATGTACATGTATCAATAACTTTGACTTTAAGAAGCAAAATTACTTCTTCAAGCCCCAAGAGGTCACTGAGCTAAAAATTTTATCTTTATTAACAATTTTAGGAATGGATAAAAAGCTAGGGGAAATGCAATGTGGTAAAAATAAATCTAGAGGTAAAATATTATTCTTCCATTCTGTTGGAGAAAATCTATTTTTTTTTATTACCAGCAACCACTTGTAAACAAGGTAAATGATAAAAAAGAGTCAAGAAAATGAACACAGTATATATCTCTAAGAGACACACACCATCTTATATTAATTGCTTATATTACCTTGACTCACTAAGATACAAGTAAAAAGTTGGCATCTGACACAAGAGACAAGAAAATAAAACGATGCCCTTAACCTCATTGCCCTTTCATACTCAAAGAGCTCCAATCCTATTTCAGGATCATGTGATACAAAAGAAACAATTAACCTTCTAAAGATATCTAACAAACTTTCTAAGCTTATAAGTATTTCATAGGAAGGAAAGCAATACTGATTTGAATAAATTAAAACACAAAAATGTCTGGGGCACATGCTCTATGCACAAATGACAACACGTGGCTTTGGTATTTGAAAACTCTTATATATGTTAACATTAGAAAAATTTAATTCATCTTTATTTTTTGGAAATAGTTCATAATGGTTCCATTCCAATAGAAAGAACATATTAAAATCTGAGAAAATATTAAAATGGCACAAGCTTTTCAATGATTAGACACACACACAGGTACAGACATGCATACTATAGTTATTTTCATACATGCATATTATTATATTGTTTACCAGAATCTACCCTGAGATAAACATAGTTCTGGGCATATAGTAAGTGCTCCAGAAATATTTGTTAGGTCATTAAATGCATGTCTGTAAAAAAGCCCCAGCTTATACATCCTTTGGTAGTGAAATGAAAAAAGTTATGTGAAAATAAAATTTGGCTGTGAAGAACAGGAATTTAGACACACAAAATCTTTGGTGCATAGTACATATACAGGTGAAGAAACAGGTTTCAAAAATTTACACCAACTTCTTGTCCCGAAAATACAAAAGCACTCACTTGATGAGGAAACATTAAAGGAATGGAAAGCACAATAAAAACCAGATTTAACTTTTAAGGCAAAGAATCTTTGGGAAATGCTACCTGAACTTGTTTTGCTTAGTAATAAAGACTAGACCTTGTTTTGAACAAAAAATAATATAGAGATATTTTTTTTTTACTTTAAGTGGTGGGAGGGTAAGGGGAGAGAAAGCAAGGTAAGGAGAGATGCTTTGCTACAAAAGTTCTTACAATGTTTGAAACTTGACATTTTAGAGTCAAGGTGCATAGTTATTAGGTATGAAGGTCTGAATGAATTCTGGAACATTAGGCAAATTGATTTTTCTCCTAATGGCAGAAGAATACCAAGCAGAATATCATCTTGTTAAACACTGAAACTGTTTCAACTTAAGGAAAATACTGTAATATGTGAGATATAATAGAATTTCTAAAAACTTTTCTATAATTGCTTGAATGAGATAAAAAATATATTCCTTTTTATGCACTAAAATGAAACAAAAGTGAAAGAACTTTTACTTTTTTTTTTTTTTTTTTGAGACAGAGTCTCACTCTCTTGCCTGGGCTAGAGTGCTGTGGTGTCAGCCTACTCCTGGGCTCAAGTGATCCTCCTGCCTCAGCCTCCCGAGTAGCTGGGACTACAGGCACGCACCACCATGCCCGGCTAATTTTTTCTATTTTTAGTTGTTTGGCCAATTTCTATCTATTTTTGGTAGAGACGGGGTCTCACTCTTGCTCAGGCTCGTCTCGAACTCCTGAGCTCAAAGGATTGGCCTGCCTTGGTCTCCCACAATGCTCGGATTACAGGTGTGAGCCACCGCGCCAGCCAGAACTTTTACTTTTAAAAGGATATCTATTAAAACCTTAACTATTGAAATAATTTTCTATTTGCTAATGTTTTGCTTTGCAACATGTGTTAGTTTGAAATTTGTATCCCTCTATCCCCACATAATGCTAACTACATATCATGTATTGGAAAAACTATTTACTAACTAAATCTCAAAAAGTTTAATTAAAATAGCACATAACACTTGATTTATCAAAAAAAGCTATAAATATATTCACATTTCAGTTTTTTTAATTTTTAAAATTCTCTTTATTTTTTTGAGACAAGGTCTTGCTCTGTCTCCCATGCTCAAGGGCAGTGGAATGACATCATAGCTTACTGTAACCTCTAAGTTCTGGGCTCAAGAGACCCTCCTGCCTCAGCCTCCCATGTAGCTGGTGCTACAGGTGTGCGCCACCATACCTAGTTAATTTTTTTCTGTTTTTTGTGGAGACAGGGTCTTGCTCTTGCTCGGGTTGGTCTCAAACTACCATCCTCCTCTTGCCTCAGCCTCCCAAAGTGCTAGGATTACAGGTGTGAGCCACCATGCCCGGCCAAAAATTCTCTTTACTAACATATTTTGTGCCTGACATTGTACCTTCCATAAGGAACATTAAAAGAGGCTTTTGACTGTATGGTTATGTTATTAAAGGAGATTAAAGGAAAACCAGACTGAGGACTTTAAGGAAATGTTCAGAATGGGAAAAGAATGTAAATCTGAGAAATCTGAGATCCACTCCTAGGCAAAATTTGAAAAAATAGTATAGCTTTTACATAGGATAGACAAATAGAACAGTTTTGATATTTAATGTACTCAACTTTTTTACTTAGTTTAACTATATCAAGATTAACTGTAATCTAGTTTTTACATATTTTATTTATATTTACTCAGTACAGCTAATAAAAACTTCCTATTCCAAAAGGGGAAGTGACTACTGTGAATGATTTGAATTCCACAAAGGAAGGTATATCACTATGACCATATAATGTTTTGATGATGAAAAATGATAACAATGTCATATTTATTCATAAGCAAACAGGGACGATTGATTAATTGGGATATTCACAATGAAGAACTCAGACTTAAACAAATGTAGACATGTTTCTTCCCATGATATAAATGCAAAACTCCCTTTAAAAGTTTAGTTTTTTACTTTAAAAAACTTGACTGCACACCAAACTGTATTATCTACCATTTTGTCTCTCAGTGATAGATGTTTATATCTTCTATCACAGTAGTGTTGATAATGTGGTTAATTAAGACAGATTTCCTTACAAAGAGATTTGGGTCAAAATTTACAAATCATCTCCCAAATTGCCACAAAATATAAATTATACTTAATATTCTATGCAAAATTTAGTTGCTATCACCACCAATCATAAGGGTCATATTAAAGTTTTAGTTTGCTGAGAGTACTATGATACTGAAATGTTAAGAACAAACAGAGCCTGGATAATTAGCTAATTCCAACAATATATTCTTAATCTCAACATAACAGGCCTGTGAACCCAAGCTTCATATTGTTAAAACATAACCATTTTCTTATATTGTACTTTTTAATGTATGATTGACCAGGCAACATGTTTATAATTGGGCAAAGGAAAAAGATTTAATTTCACTATAAGCTGAAAGCTATGACCATTAATGACCAAACTAACGGAGTTCTCTGGAAAAAAATTAAGTAGCCCAAATATCCGTACTGAATTGTTAAAACTTAGTGAAATTTTAGTGATTTGGTAGCCAAGTTCTGAACTTGGTACAGAACCTCTCCAATACTGGTAGTTTCTTCTACCAACAACAGTAAAATTTCTAGAGTATGGAACTGAATAAGAACTTGATTTGTTTGGTTTTTGATAGATGTCTACATTTTATGTTTTCTTCATCAGGTATGTCAGCATACATCTTAGACATACTGTGATACACTGAGAGAAACACTTCTTTGTTACACTGATAACTAATACATCCTTCGAAGTCTATGCATGTATTTAAGCCTATGTATCTATCCTCCCTCACCCCATTCGTGTTCACACTTATTCTTCACTCCTCTTACCATGGGCAGGTCTTTTAGGATCTGTATTCCATCTCCAGGACCCATGTGTGCTATGTGGTTAAAATTAGTTGGATTAGAAATTAATTTATTTCTCATTTCTGGATCTCGTAGCATCTCCCTGTAAGACAAAACACTTATTTAGATACTTTTTCCATAATCTAGGTACTTAAGAAAAAAATTAAGCATATTTTAATCTTTTTTTACAAAAATAAAACTACTAAATCATGTTAATAAGGATATAATTAGACTAACAGAATATACTCAGTTAAAAATTCACTTCTTTACAATGTTTTCTTTTAAATCTTAAATAAAAGATCTTATGATTTTGTGTGGGAAAACAGAGAGGGTCCTTTTAAATGCTTAGGACATCAAAGAAAAGCTCTACTCTATTTCATAGATAATTCTGAACATTTTATGTATCTCATTTTTTTTTTTTTTTTGAGACAGAGTCTCACTCTCTTGCCAGGGCTAGAGTGCCGTGGCGTTAGCCTAGCTCACAGCAACCTCAAACTCCTGGGCTCAAGCAATCCTCCTGCCTCAGCCTCCCATGTAGCTGGGACTACAGGCACGCGCTACTGTGCCCAGCTTTAATTTTTTCTATTTTTTTAGTTGTTTAGCTAATTTCTTTCTATTTATAGTAGAGACAGGGTCTCGCTCTTGCGCAGGCTGGTCTCGAACTCTTGAGCTCAAGCAATCTTCCTGCCTCGGCTTCCCAGAGTGCTAGGATTACAGGCGTGAGCCACCACGGCCGGCCTTATGTATCTCTTTTAAAATTGATAACACTTTAGAAATGTTTTTAGATATAACTGGAAATACCACAAGGTTATTTGTTTATGAAGAGAATAGTTAATCTTAACTTCTTAGACATTTATTATATGCATAGATATGTTCTAAGTTTATATTGTAGAAAGGTACACAATCCAAAAATTATAACTATTCCATATATATACAGAAGTGAATAAAAATATGATACTTTAATCCAGTATATACTCACGATTCAGAGAGTATTAACTAAAATGACTGAGAAGTGATATTCATTATTGCAGTACTGACACTACAGATGAGTGACAGATTTTTAGATATCAAATTTCCCTTCCAAATCGAATACAGTAATATCACCAAATAGTCCTTCAGATGCTACAAGCATGATAGGTATAAATTTAATATTTACCTCCTCTGTTGCATCCTTTCCTCTTCTGGGACTCTGAAGGAATAGCGTCGCTTATTGTTAATATTTCTAACCATTTGTTTCCGACTATTATCTGATGTTTCAGGAACTACCAGTTCATCCCCTTCTGTTAAAAAAAAAACACAAAGAACAATGATGTTCTCTAACCTGCTAAAATGCTTTTTATCCATTAATCTCCAAGACAGTGAAAATGTTAATCAATTGTACAAAAGTATATTCAATTCTGATTTTTAAAAGTTGTATGTTGATAACCATAGTAAATAAGCAATAATTTTCTACAGAACAGATGTAAACAGATACATGATGATATTAAACATGGCTTATAAAACATATTTTCACTTTTTTTTGATTATAAACATAAAATGATATAATCTACCTAAAGAAAACTATAGTTGCCTTGATGTCCTGCCACTTTGACTGGCTACCCACCCTGGTATCTCTATACTATCTTCTTTCTCCCTACGGATATTGGTTTCGACGGCTTAGGGCGTTAAAGAGCTGCTATTGTTAACCTGCACAGTAATCAGGCATAAATGGTATGCCATTCATGTAAATAATAATAATAATTATTAATAAATAATAATTAAAATTATTTTTACATCATAAAACATTTCCTCTGCAAGGTTCAAACTATGAGATGTGGAGTAAGGAAAAGGAATTGTATTCTCACTATCTTCCTTTACCAAATGTAAGAATCTGTTGCTATTTCTACTCTTCTGATCTTGGGAGAAGATATTTAATCATATACACCTAGCAACGCAGTGCCCATCTTATCCTATGTCAGCTTTAGTATCTAGAAATAAAAAAAACTATCAGCTAGGGACTCCCAAAACATGCTGGGCTATGTGAATATAGTCTAAGAATAAAACAGACAATGGTAACCACGTAACATGACAGGAGATGCCATTATCTAAATAACACAAGGAAAAAGAGCAAACATAACATTTAGAAGTTTTCAGCACCCAAAAACCTGAAGTGCAAAGAAGGAGGTAGGAGGAAGCCAAACGGGCCTGTAGGGCCAAAGCAGATGATAAGCAAGAAGTGACATGCTCCTTGCAGTTTGATGTGAGGTTGTTTTCTAACAACAAACACTAAAGGAATAGAATTTTTAAAGTGGATGAGAATGTGGGACACAATTTTAGACTTTGAGAATTACGAGGGTGAAGCAGGTCTAGAAGAGTTATGGTGGCAACAGGGGATTCTGGAGAGCCAGAGGGTTGCAGGAGCACTTCAGCCTCTTAAGATGAAGGAGAAAAGCAAGACACAGAAAAAGAAAGGATCTCCTGGAAATGGAATTTCCTTCCATTGTCAAAGAACAAGACAACTGTATTAAAATTTGTCAGGTTCCCCTTCTCCAAACTCTACCTCTACTCTTAGTCTAGAGTAGAAAGATGAAAAGACAGGTTGGAATAGGTTTTTCCCTACAGACACAAAGTAGGTATGGACATATTTCATGACCAGCATGGCCACATACAGTGAGAACAGGATAGAGCTAATCTTATATTAATATAAATATCTGGAGTTCCTCTAAGAAACAGAATACAAGCATACCTTGGAGATATTGTGGGTTCAGTTCTAGACTACCACAATAAAGCAAATATCTCAATCAAGAAATTCACACACACACAAAAAAAATTCACACAAATTTTTTGATTTCCCATTGTATATAAAGGTTATGTTTACACTAGACTATATTCTATTAAGCTTACAATAGCATCATGTACAAAAAAAACAATGCACATACTTTAATTAAAAATACTTTACAGTAAGTGTAATCTTTTTGCTGGTGGAGGATCTTGTGTTGATGTTGATGGCTGCTGACTGATCAGGGTGGTGGTTGCTAAAGGTTGGTGTGGCTGTGGCAATTTCTTAAATAAGACAGCAATGAAGTTTGCTGCAATTGATGGACTCTTCCTTTCACGCATGCAATGCTGTTTGACAGCATTTTACCCATAGTGGCAAACATAACTTTCAAAATTGAATCAATCCTCTCAAACCCTGCCTCTGCCCTACCATCTAAGTTTACGTAATATTCTAAAGTCCTTTGTTGTCATTTCAACGATATTCACAGCATCTTCGTCAGGAGTAGACTTCATCTCAAGAAACCACTTTCTTTAATTATCCATAAGAAGCAACTCCTCACTTGTTCAAGTCTATCACGAGACTGCAGCAATTCAGTCATATTTTCAGCACCTACTTCTAATTCTAGTTCTCTTGCTATTTCTACTGTACTTGCAACTATTTCCTCCACTGAAGTCTTGAATTCTTCAGAGTCACCCATGAGGGCTGGAATCAACTTCTTCCAAACTCCTGTTAATGCTGATATTTTGACCTCTTCCCATGAATCACAAATGTTCTTAATGGCATCTAGAATGGTGAATCATTTTCAATCTATTTTGCCCAGATCCATCATAGAAATCACTATCTATGGCAGCTATAGCCTTACAAAATGTATTTCTTAAATAGTAGACTTAAAATAACTCCTTGATCCACAAGCTGCAGAATGGATGTTGTGTCAGCGGGCATGAAAACAACATTCATCTCCTTGTAAATCTTCATCAGAGCTCTTGGGTGATTTGTGAATTGTCAATGAGCAGAAATATTTTGAAAGGAATCTTTTGTGAGCAGTAGGTCTTAACAGTAGGCTTAAAATATTCAGCAAACTATGCTGTAAACAGGTGTGCTGTGATCTAGGGTTTGTTGTTCCATTTATAAAGCACAGACAGAGTAGATTTAGTGTAACTTGTAAGGGCCCTAGGATTCTCGGAATGGTAAATGAGCACTGGCTTCAACTTAAGAGTCACTAACTGCATTAACCCCTAACAAGAGAGTCAGCCTGTCCTTTGAAGCTTTGAAGCCAGGCACTGATGTCTCCTCTCATTATGAATGTCTCAGATGACATTTTTTTTTTCAATAAAAAGCTGTTCAGTCTACACTGAAAATCTGTTATTTAGTGTAGCCATCTTCCTCAATTATCTTAGCCAGATCTTCTGGATAACTTGCTGCAGCTTCTCCATCAACACTTGCTGTTTTACCTCATACTTTTATGTTATGGAGGGAGACAGCTTCTTTCCTTAAACCTCATGAGCCAACCTCTGCTAGCTTCAAACCTTTCTTCTATAGCTACTTCACCTCTCTCAGCCTTCACAGAATTGAGGAGAATTAGGGCCTTGCTCTGCATTAGGCTTTGGCTTAAGGGAATGTTGTGGCTGGTTTGATGTTCTGTTGAGACCACTAAACCTTCTCCCTATCAGCAATAAGGCTGTTTCACTGATTTATCATTCATGTGTTCACTAGAGTAGCACTTCTAATTTCTTTCAAGAACTTGTCCTTTGCATTCAGAGTTTGGCTCTTTGGCACAAGAGGTCTAGCTTTTGGCCTATCTTGGCTTTCAACATGCCTTCCTCACTAAGCTTAATCATTTCCAGCTTTTGATTTAAAGTGAGAGATATGTGACTCTTCTTTTTAACTGAACACTTAGAGGCTATTGTAGGGTTATTAATTGGCCTGATTTCAATATTGTTGTGTCTTAGGGACTAGGGAAGCCCTAGGAGAGGAAGAGAGATGGGGGAATGGACGGGTCAGTAGAGCAGTCAGAACACACACATTTATGGAGTAAGTATCTATCTTATATGGGTATGGTTCATGATGCCCCAAAATAATGATAATAGCATAGTAACATCAAAGATCACTGATCACAGATCACCACAACAGATATAAGAATAATGAAAAAGTCTGAAATATTGTGATAATTACCAAAATGTGACACAGAAACAGTAAGTGAGGCCAGGCGTGGTGGCTCATGCCTGTAATCTGAGCACTTTGGGAGGCCACAGTCGAAGGATTGCTTGAGCCCAGGAGTTTGAGGCCAGCCTGGGCAATAGCAAGACCTATTTTTACAAAAAATACAAATATTAGCTGGGCATGGCAGCGCATGCCTGTAATCCCAGCTACTCAGGAGGCGGAGGCAGGAGGATCTCTTAAGCCCAGGAGTTGGAGGCTGCAGCGAGCTATGATTATGCCACTGCACTCTAGCTGAGGCAACAGAGTGAGACCCTGTCTCAAAAAAAAAAAAGAAAAGAAACACTAAGAGCACACGCTGTTGGAAAAATGGCACTGGCAGACTTACTTGCTTGATGCAGGGTGTCCACAAATCTTCAATTCGTAAAAAGGTGAAGCGTAATAAAATAAGATATGCTTATATAAAATTCAGTATGGGGTGTTGGAAGTGAAGAGCCTAAAGCTGAAGTTTCATTAGCTTCATGGTGAATGCATCTAGGGGTGGGAATCATTTCTAAAATATGAATATCCTTTCTCAAGTCATACTGGAATATCCTCTTAGCACAGACTTCCCCTAGAGTCACCAGTTTGTGTAACAAGAAACCTCCGGTTCTAAGAGGACATACCAAAACATCAAACCAGAAGCCAGGCCATCGTAGTCTACATTTCAGTACTTAAAACAAACAAAAACAAAGATGAAAAAACCAAACCTTTGATGGATTTTTTCTTGATAGTAGAACATACAAATTTACCGGAGGAATATGGGGGGAGGATGAAAAAAAGAGAAGATAATAATCCCACTACCCCAAAATAACTGGCATAACCATTTTAATGTTTTCCTGAGGCCAATGTTACTACTTATATTGAAGGTACCATAGTATATTTTGATTAAATAGGTATACCAAAAAAGATCAGAAATTTTACCTCTGTTATGCAGAAATTTGTTGCTATGACATGAGAATGACTTTATTATATAGAAGAGGGCACTATAACGATATTTGGTAAAAGTGAAATTTTTAACTCTTTGGACACACTCTGACTGCCAAGCAACATTTAACTACATGTATACAGTCTCCCTGGTATTTTACATGTGAGGTATGTAATTACATGTGTGACAGTCTCAGCTCACTACTTTGGTCACTGCCACACACCCTCCTCCAGTCTGTAACACTCAGGGTCCCCATTCCCTATCCTGATTTGGGCACTGCTTTGACCCTCCTCTCTTTCCTCCTTCGTCCTATGTTGACATCAGCAATTCAGAAGTACTAAGCCCTCTGCATTGGCAGGGGATGTATTTCTGAAGTCCCAAACTGGAATTCTAGATAAGTGTTCATAGTTTTAGTGCTACAAATTTTGGTTAGGTTCTATAATATCAATGAAAGCAAAGAAGATATATTCAGCTATACTTTCTCTACTTAAGTACTCCACGGAAAAATAACAGGGTATGTCAGAATCAAATACTTTGCTTATACAGCTATGCGAGCTTAAAGAGAATGACTTTTTGTTCAGTAGTTCATCTTAATATATTAAAAGAGCGTGACAGTGGCCCAGATCACAGACATGGAGTAAGATACACTTAAGCTTAAATCTGGACTTTGGCATTTATTATTCATGTGACCTTGGGCAGTAAGCTTAAGATAACATTTCCATTTAAGTTATCCTATTAATTTATATATATTTCTTACCTGCCATCTTATTTTTGAAATATATTAATCTAATTGTCTCCAACCCTAAAAGATTTAATGATCCTTCATTGTTTAAGGGTCGAACCTAAAATAATAAAAAAGCAAAATTAGTATTTCAACGAAACTTTTAAAAATTAAGTCATAAACTTTTTAGCCTACTTATAAAACATACATTATTAAGACCTTTCACTAATCTACTTCAAAATACAGCCCTCTCAAAAAATTAATAATAATTCTGACTAGAAAGGCATATTATCTAATTTGAAACTTAAAATGATTAACATTTTAAAGGAAGACTATTCTGGGCAAATAAGTAAATAAACAAATAAATGAAATTAAGCAGAAATAAATTTAAACCTTAAATTAGACTTCTTAACGTCATTAGTAACCAAATAATTATACTAAGAAGATATCACCACAGCTGCTTTATGGATTGTGACTATCAAAAACTAAATGCACACATGTGATGTAGACAGAAATGCAGATCACTGTGGAAAGGAGGGACTGCCTATAAATGGTGATGGAGCAACTGGCTATATGGAGCCAACAAATTAAATTTCTACTTCATACCATACACAAAAAACAAATTCCAAATGGTTAAACACATACGTGTAACAGGAAAAGCTTTAAAATGTTTGGAGGAAAATAAAGACTATATCTTTATAACCCTGAAGAAGGAAAGTTTCTTAAGAGAAAAAAGACAAACCTAAAGGATAAATACGATAAATTTACCCACATCAGAATCAATACTTCTGTTCAGCAAAATACAAATGAATAGATAGGTCACAAAAAGGGAAAAGATTTTCCACATCCATTATTAACCCAATATCCACAATATATAAAGAATTCCAATAAATCAATAAGAAAAAAATGGCCAATCCAACAGAAAAATGAGCAACAAACATGACTAGGTATTTCATGAAAGAGGAAATATGAATGATGAATAAACATATGAAAGATTTTCAACCACATAGTTAATCAGGGACACTCAAATTATTAATAACACTTCAATGAGATACTACTTTACAACCATTTACAAAAATTATGAATTCTTATAATGGGAAGTGTTAGGATGAGAGTCAGTAAGAACTCATATACTGTTAAAGGGAGTATCAACTGGTACAATTACTTTGGAAAATAATATGACACTATCTCATAAAGATGCATAACTGCATTCCCCACGTCCCATCAATTCTCCTCCTAGGCACATGACTTAAAGAAACTCCTGTACACATACACCAAAAGACATACACAGCGATGTTCAGAATAGTAAAATGCTAGGAAATAATTCAAATATCTACCAATCAGAGAATGGATAAATAGGGATAAATTCACCCAACAGAATATTTTACAGTATTGAAAAGCAATGAACTGCAGTACATGTAACAACATGGATAAATCTTAGAAACACAGTAAATATGTAAAGAAAGCAAGGCAGAAAATGACAATATATCATAATGTTTTTATAAAGCTCAAAAACAATCAAATCTAAACACTATATTGTTTAGGAATATTTAAATATGCAAAAATTCTGTATTTTACGAAAAGTAAGGGAATGATAAGCACGATTTTCAGGACAGTGATTTTTCTCTGGGGAAAGGTGGAGAATGGGATAAAGGAGTACACAGGTAGATTCAGTGACACTGGGAATGTGCTGGCTCTTAAGTTAGGAGGTGGGCTCCTGAGTGATCAGTTTATTATTATGCTTGATAAAGGTCATGTATTCTTTCATATATATTGCAAAAATCACACGATAAAAATAAAACAGAAAACGAACTGTAACCAGCCCAAATTTACAAACTAGAACATATTGTAGTTGCTTTATATAACATGGCAGTATTTACAAGAGCTTTTTAAACTGCTGATATGATTTAAAATTGGCACAAATTTTCAAATATGATCTTGGCTACTTTTTTTCACCTATTTCTCTAAACCCTGCCCCCCAACTAATAATACATGTTACATATACCATATATATCTATATAAAACTATTATTACTCTTCATTTTTGTAAAATAGCAGTTCTATACTTGTAAAAGTTCCCTTTATATTATGAAAATACAGGAAAACATTAAGAAAAATATGCTTTATTAGGAAAAACCTTTATTTTTCAATCATGAGACACTTAAACACAGTTTTGGTTATGTTTAATCACTTTTCTAGCCTGTGAAATCTGTCCTCACAGGATTAAATACTGTACACCACTATTTGAAAAATGGTTATAATTAATAATAATCATATACTCCCCCAGAGCTGCTTAATTCAAAAATGGAAGGTAACACTGACATTTTAGGTTCTAGGAAATATTCTAGTTGTTCATCATAATAATCATACTTAATATAAATTAAATGCATTAATAATAAAAATAGTATGGTTTGAGCTACCTATAATGAAATGAACCAGCTTGAATTTTATTTTCTTACTTTTAGCTAAGTCCCAAACTACCAATTACACCTGCCAGAAAATGCTGAATTCATAAAAAATAGCTAAATAGTCATATTAGTGTTTTTACTTATATTCATTAACTGGCTTTTCTCACATTTTAATGTTAAATTACCTTTTTGAGAGGAAGAGTCTGAATCCATTCCATAGAGTTCACATCAAAGATATCAACTGCATTTTCACTATACACTGAGAGATACGGTGCATTGTAACCTAGGAGAAAGGAAGGTGGGAATGGCCTGTTGATTACTTTTAACTGTTAAATCCAAAACATTTTGAAAGGTCTATGATTTTAAATAACTGTAGAGTGAAATACCATGAAAATCCTACTGTTATCATAAAATAGCACATCAAAACAGTTCTGAAGTAGACAGAACATAAACCATAAATGAAGAACTGACATACCATGGTTCAGATTATACAGTCATTGTAGTAACAGGAGGATTTTGTTAACACTTGAGGTATAATATTCCCTTGCCCAATACTAGTTCTATAAAGGAATTTTCATTACATTTTTAAGTATTTGATTCCTAAAGTATAAGTTATTGACGGTGAAGCAAATTTACAAAGCAGAGAAATCTTCGGGTAAGTGTTCTTGTTCCGGTTAAGAATGTATAATAAAGCACCTCAGTGCAGTTACATGAGCAGGGGAGATACTCAATATACACTTGTTGAAGGAATGAATATCAATAAATGGTGACACAAGCAAAGAGAGAATAAACAATTTACCTAAGCTTAAGGTTGCGAAGTGAATTTTTGGCAGAGTTATACATAAAAGACAGATACTCCAACTCTTACTCTACATTAGAAGCAATACTCCGAATTATTATCTGACGTGGTTACAAAACAGCATTTATTCTACATATGAAGTCAGAGTTGGGGGTATATGTTTCAGAAGAAATAAAACATTAAAAATAGCTAAATCTGGGTGGATATGATTAGAGGTATTTTTTTTTTGTTCTTTTTATCCAGATTTTCTAATTTTTCTGTAATAACCATCTATTGCCTTCCTAAACTTCCTTCCAATGACCCTTTAAACTTGACTGGACCCATACCCATCGTTTCTCTTTCTATCTTCTTATAATGGAAGAGGTTTTACTCCTCCTGCCCCAAATAATCCCTCTACCTATGTACCGAATTTCACCGTATCTGGCCTTCTTGGGGATCTTACTGTATTTCCTGTATTACCCAGATAGTCAACTTTTTCCTAGTAGTTCCCTAGTGCTTTTTTCCCTCTAGCATTTAAACATGCTCAAGTATTTTCCATTAAAAACAAAACGATGTGGATTAGATACTCCTCCTATGCACTTCTATAGAACCCTGTACTTCTGCTATCATAGCGCTTATTTTCTACTGCAATTGCTTATTTTATCCTGAATCTGTTCTCCTGCACTCTATGCTCTGTGAAGGTAAGACTGTATATATTTCGTTCATTGCTATATCTCATACAGTGCAATGGCATATATCCAGTAATAACTGAATTATTATTCAATAATGAAAGCATTCAAGAATTAAAAGTATTTATTTTTTCAGGGGCTGGGCCCGCTTGCCCTCTCTCCCTCACAGAGAAGGAGGGGGAGAAAAGGAGGGGAAGGACAGGGACCCCCGAACCACCTTCCCTCAATAATTTATTAATGTCTTAAGAGTGAAATAAGCAATTTAAAGTACCTACTTATCTAGATAAAAATGTGAAACTGAATAACACCTCTTATGGATATTAATTATATCTTTACATAATTAAGTAAATAATTCACTTAGTAACTAATCTTCCAGAATAAGTCCTATGAGCTACTGATGCTTACAAGCACTATATTTTGGGGGACAATGAAGATAATTTAGGGTTATTTCTAAACACAACATAGGATAAAAAAATTCATCTCAGTAAAATATTCCACAAAAAGATCAGTTTTACTTAATGCACATGTTAATGCTGACCCTGTTTGCCTAAGCCTAACAGGGTCATGGTTTTTATATAACATAATTAATACTGAGAAAAAATCTTAAGAATGACTTAAATAATCCGTTATTAACAATGACTATTTAGGAGAGTAAGTGGAAGAAAAAAGAAAGGAAAAAGACACAGAGATAAGACGGTGATAAGAAAGGGAATCTTACAACAAGAGGAAGGATTTGCTGGCCACATCAATTCCTGTTGTCTAGATCTTCGGCCCTGGCAGTCAGTGTATATCCCAATGCTGTTAAAACACAGCAGGTATTCTTTACTGGAGATCTCGACTGCACAGATAGCATCCATTGGTTGATGAGCAATAAATGATAGCGTATGGTCATTGGAATGGAGCATACTGTATGGACTTCCTTCTCCATTCAAGGGGTATCTTAGAAATCCTGACTGGAATCCCACACAGAGACGTTCGCTGAAGACTGCCATCCACTGGACATTATATGGGACTTGAATTTCCTTAAATTTTCTGTGACGGGTCTTGCTCTGAAATAGTTCATAACAGAGGACCTGCCTTTTCATAGCCACGCACAGGCATGTGAGAGCTCCATGGCGCACCTTTCCAGAAGTTATGGTTTGACACCCTTTAGTTTCTGCCAGCTTATAAAAATCAGTCTCTCGCCCATCGAAAGCTGACATAGGAAAAAGTCGTACGTGACGATTTCGTCCTGAGATCACAGCAACGAGCTGATCATTTGGAATTAGTTCAATCTGATGAATCTTCTTATTGTCACCGACTCTAATAATTTCTACACACAGAAATAATAAATCAAATGCAAAATAGTTTTCTTTATTAACCATATCCCAATTTACTCAGAGGATATAAATCAACTTGTAATAAAGACTCAGATGCACACACAGAATAATAAGAGATCAGAAATCACAGAGAAAAAGGAAGATAATTAAACCTACTACAATTTGACTCACTTATAGAAGGTATTAAATTTAGCACTGAGATTTCTGGCAGCCAAGGCAAAGAGTTCTTGTGTAAAAGCATGTCAAATCTTCAAGAAAAATCTTTTTATGGCCACTTAATTCTAGGGAACTTCGCCATGGGGTTCATATTTTCAAAAACCGAGTAACTCATATTTCTCTGAAGGTACTTCTATGGGTAACAAACTAATGAAGTTTAAATGCATTGTTTTCCCATGATCTAACTTCATATAAAGACAGAACTTAGAATACTGTATTCATGAATACCAAGTTAGATTGATTTCTCTTTATTTCAACCAGCATTTAATTTCTCCCTAGAAAAAAACCTGCTGTATTGGACTGTGGGGAAAAAAAACCCAAACACTTTAATAGTCGTTACCTCTTACTAGTATTAACAGAACAACAAGAAACTCAAGTTGTATTTTTTCTCATGTCCCATCTTTAGAAATGCAATCTGAGTTCAAATAGCAGAGCTGTTAAATAAAAATGGGACAAGAAAGACAATACACACTTGAAGTTTTAGAACTCAGGGGGATTACAAAAACTGAAAAATAATCTTTTAATTTATAAACATCAAATGAGGTCTGAAAAATTTCAGTTATAGAATAAAGAAGAGTAAATCTTGCCCTTTTTATAACTTAGAATCTAGAGTTTAGAATTTTCTAACATATGATTTAAAATTACTCCAAAATAGTTTTCTCTTACCATCTTTGGTGACATGAATAACAAATAACCCTTCTTCATTTCCCAAAGCTATCCTTTCATGATCTATGTAAGACAGAAATATGAAACATTTTTATTAGGTAAAAGCCATGTAAAGCTAACAGAATAAACCAGATAATAAGGAAATTTGGTGTAAAAAATGGAAATAAATTTAAAAAATCAAAATATAGCAATAGCGATTTACACTATTAAATTTCCTTTTAGATTAAAGTGGTAAATATCTCAAGTCTTTCTTGAGAAAACAATAATTTAAAAAAATCTACATCAATACCTACAAAAAGTAGTAAATGTTTATTCAATAAATGGTAAAAGAAAAAAAAAAGAAAAAGAAAAACCTAGTTTGTTACTGCCCTGGGTCCAGTTCCATCCATTTCTTGTTTTGGAAGGGAAAAATCATGAAAGGCATTTGAACCTACTCATTAAACTTTTTGTTATTTACTGGAAACTAACAAAAGAGCTGGATGTGTATGTAAGAATATAGCAAAAATTTAAACCTCCAGACACAGAAGCTGTCATTTGTTAAGGGTGTTTATTATGCAGGCTCTCTTTGTTATGCATTCCATCTTATTTAAACTTCCCAATAACCTCAGCAAAGTAATTAGTATTTACATGTTACATATTAAATTTATGCTCTAAGAAATTAACTTGTTCTAAGTCAAGCAGAAAATAGATTACTAGGTTAATCTTTTGCACTGTAACTTTTTCACAAGAAAATGCACTTAGAAAGTGTACTGACTCTTGTTTACTGAAAAACAAAGATCTCATATAGGATTCATTCATTCAATAAACATTTAGTGAGCAATTATGATATAACACATAGTATGTTGAACACTGAAGATTCCTAGATGAAAGCCAGTCCCTGTTCACAAGCTAGATTAGCAAACAATTATGAAAATATGACAACTGTTTTAAATTCATACCTATGATTGCAGCTGCCTGGGTTGTTTTAATGAGGGGTAGAGTGCTGTCATAAGCTTCTTTGGGAACATAGACTGAGCGGTCTCTGAATTTGTTTTTCTTCAAAATCTTGTGCAATTCACTCAGCACTCCTACCCACTTACTCTTCTCATTTTCACTATCTGCTAGCATCAGGATTGAACATTTGTTATTCGGTGCTGAGAGCTGGGAAGCTGTGACCTAGAACAATGTAATCAATATTCATGATATTAGAAAACAGAAACCCTTTATGCTAGTTTCATGATTATGCTAGCTTGCTTAGCACTCACCAATAAAATGAGCATGCATTAAATGATACCTTTAACGGAATTTAGCTAGCATGAATCAGAATAACTAGTTTTAGCACTAGAACTCACGACAAAGCAAAGGTGGCATATACCATTCAAAATGTTAGTATCATTTTCATTTTCCTTCCTATAAAAGTGCTAGTACATCACTAAAAATGCATTACACATATAATAATAACTGTCATATAATACTGTAACTGACATATAATAATAACTGCCATTATTGAGTAATTACTGAGCACTGGGTAGATCTTTAGATCTAAGCACTTTGTAAGTATTAACTCATTTAACCCTATTAACATCTTCACGACACATTAATAGTACTGTCATTACATCCTTACTGTATGTATGAAAAAACTGTGATACAGAGAAAGTAAGTAATTTTTCCCAGGGCACATAACTAGAAGTCTGGGATCCTGTGTCTTTGCTCTTAAGCACTGTACCATACTGACTTTCAACTTGTTTTAAAAAGTCAGAAATGCTCAGAAATACTTACATTTTCTCTTACTTCATAACACTAAGTCACATTATCATTAGAGAAGACTGGATCACTTGAATTAGCATTTAAATGGAGGCTTATCATTATACAAACAGCATTCACAATAAGAACAGATTTAAATTTTATATATATGGGTTTCTTATTAAAATAGGTAAGTGGGCCTCTGTAGACTCCATTGGTGGCTGGGAGGAGACTGAACAGTTGTCAGTCTGAGAACCGGAAGACTAAGTATAGTCTTTGCCTGACCTTCCATAGCTACTAGATTCATAGACAAATACTAAGTAGACAGGCATAACTATAGGGCAGTAGTCACTTTTTTTTTAACCTCTGTTGTCTTAATTGACCAACTCAAGACTGCATTCTGGTAAACAGCCTCCAAAGATAGCTACGAACAATTCCTCCTATGGAATTCCATTCTTTTTATTGAGAGGTGGAGTCTATTTCCCCTCCCCTTAAAACTGGTCTGACCTCATGACTTCTTTTGCTCAACATAATGCAGAAGGGTTATTACGCCTTTTTGGGCCCAGTCCTTAAAAGGTCTGGCAGCTTCTTTTGCTCTTTTAGAAGCCAGCCACTGAGAGCTCGGCTAGACTCCCTAATCATCAGGGAACATGGAGAGAGTCCACAAAGAAGGGAACTGAGATCACCCAGCTAACAGCCAGCACCAAGACCCCAGATGTAAGAGTAAGGTCATTTTGGATGTTCTGGCTCCAAATGAGCTGAACGCAGCCAATACCTCAAGAACTGTACAGCCGACCCACAGAATAGTGAAAAATAATAAATCATTGTTGGTTTAAGCCACTAAGTTTTGGCACGGTTGTTACAAAGCAGTAGATAACTTCAACACAGTAACTTTTAAAGAGAGAAACTTTTATTTTTAAAAACTTCAGAAACCTCACATATCTAATTTTCCATGTGGCAATATTTATTGAAAAGCTGAATTGGGACTCAAAAATATTATCTATCAGAAAACATATTTTAGAAGCCATATATTCATGCTTTCTACAAGTCTTTCACTAATTAAATATTTACTTAGCACCACATTCAAGTACTAGATAATATGAAGTGTACAAAGAAATACAAGGTTTGGTTCTACTCATAATAATTTTATGACTTAGATGGAGAGGCAAAACATACTCATTAAAAATAAATAATTCGGTGATCAAATTATAGTATACACTTACTCTAAATATACAGGGTATATCTTTTCGACTTGCATGAATAACATCAGAAGCCAAGACTGAACTCACAGAAAATTCTTCATCCCTGAATGAAAAGAGAAACATTATAAGTTAGTATAAGGAGCCTAGGGGGGAGGAGCCAAGATGGCGGACGAGAAAAGCCGCCAGTCAGAATGTCTCTGCAAAAAAGACAAATTTTAGAAGAAAGAGAAAAAAATAAGTGAGCAGAGAAACACAGATCGGGTGAGGGTCAGAAGGAAGGGTGCCTGAAACTACAGGAGACTCCACGGGAAGACGCTGCAGAGGAGAACTGGAAGGAGAAAGGTCCCGAGAAGCTTGGAGACCAGCGACAAGGGTAGGTGGAGCGGTTAACTTCCCCCTCCCTTGCATCTTGGACTGCTGGTGGGCTCCTGAGGGGCTGGAGAGACCTGCCGACACCAGCCCAGAGATGGCTGCCGCCAGTGAGCAGTGGCCTCTTGCGGACTCAGCACTGGGCTCCCAGCCTCCTCGGGGCACCTCCCCGGGCGCAGACCCGAGCCTAGTGGCAGACGCCATAGTGCTCCATTCTCTCCTTCCCCTTCCCTACTCGTGGGGGCCCAGAGAGACAATTTAGCCGTCACACAGAGGCATCTCCAAGGAACGGGACCTTTCCTTTAGGGGCCCTACAGCAGACTGAGGGGTACTCAGACTGCGAGTTCCCTACCCGCCAGCCCTCCCAGGTGCTACTTGCCTGGGGACTCCAGGAGAGTGGGGCAAATCCCGAGGTGGAGTGAAATCGATCCAGCTTGGGCACCCTGTAGGTGATTCAAGATCAGCACCCTTCCCGCTGGCAGGGTCAGGGATTGATCTCCAGGGTCCAGGGGACAGGCCTGCAGACCACACCCCATACACCCAGGTCAGGATCGCACTGCCCCGGGGCACAGAAGAGAGATCTGTGAAAGGCCCTACTGAGGAGTGTGTGCCTTCAGGGGCAGATCAGCATGCCTGACCGGCAACCCTCCTTCTAAAAGAGGGCTGTGCACCCAGCTCAGGCTATGATCCTGGGTAGGGAACCTCCCGGCCCACGTCACAGCCAGGGGAGACCCATCGGCCTGAGGTCCTGCTTGCTGGCAGAGGCCTGGGAGAGGCCACGGAGAGGGGGAGAGTGGAGGGGAGCTAGACCTGCTCCAGAGTGCCGGTCTTGGACAGCCCCAGCCCCCAAGCCCAGACTTTCAGCTGAGTGGACCCATTTCAGCCCCTCCTGGCAGCTTTGCACAGAAACAAAGAGTAGACCTTTGAATCTGCTAGCAGTAGTTGTGGAGCCTGAGGGCAGGCTTGCCCAGCCCAGCCCCACCCACACTCACTCCTCCCACTGAGGTGGAGAATAAGGACACACCTGGAAATCCCAGGGCCCCACCCACCACCCGAGGCACAAGAGGGCCTCTCTAGTGGAATAAGAGCTAGCTACAGGACCCAAAAACAGCACTGCAGCTCGCTCCTCCCTGCAAGTGCCACCTACTGACAGGGAGGTCATCCTGCACACCCTTTTACTGTACTGATTCATCACAAAGGGTGCGGTCGAATCTCACCCACAAACACCACCTATTGGCTCAGAGACTAAACAGGGCGTGTCATTATCGAAACGAAACTCTAAAGGTAAGAAGGAACAACTGATCCAGATGGGAAGGAACCAGCGAAAGAACTCTGGAAGTATGAAAAATCAAACGGAAAGCACACCCCCAAAGAGGAACAACAGCTCCCCAGCAATGGACATTAACCAAACTCAGAACACTAAAATGACAGAAGAAGAATTTC